GAGAGGAGAGAGTGCGGCGCGAGCGGTCGAGTGTGCCGCGCTCTGTAGCAGACGCCCGAAATACACCGCGCGGGATGGCGTTTCTGACAGCGCACCCAACTCGTTATAGCGCGCGCGCCGTTTTTACGCGCCCGCTGGAGCGATCCGCCGCGTTGCACGCGCGCTAAAACCGACTAATTTACGGCGCGGCGCTAGTTTAGCGCTGCTGTTGGAGATACTCTTACTGCAGGTGATATCGACGTTCCCCTGATATGTATCGCCGATGATATCAAACAAAATCGGTCAATCGTTAAGGTCCGAGAGGTCCAACTCAATACCTAGTGTAGTTGTGGGGCAGTCCATTGGCCCGCGACACACACGTCTCTTAAACCGAGGGCGTCACCACGGGTGTAACGTTACCAAAAAATAGGTATTTTCTTTCTTTTTTTTCAAATTATTATTTTTTCTTTTTTTGTATACTTCCTGCAATTCTCTGTAAAATAAAATAAAAATGTGTTGATATTGCCTCGACATAAAATGGGGCCGGATGGACGTGCTCATCACGTTGACGGAAAATCCATGGGACCGCTGGAGAGTTCACCGGTTTGGTGCCCACATTCATGGTGCCGTGTCGATGCTATTAAAGCCAAATGTCAAGGGCTAAACCATGTTTGGAAATGTAGTAGAAAAGAAAAGAAAAGAAAATGTACTACGAATCAAGAGCCGGGATCACTATTATCAACTTTGAGCTGCAGCGAAAAAAGTGTTGGTGAAGATCTTTCTTGAAAACCCTCGGACCGTCCCACGGACAATTCCCTTGGACGAAGATCATCTAGCAGGACGTGGTGCCATGTTTGCTTAAAGAATTTTCCAGGTTCCAAACAACATATAGTTTGCATGGTTGATAATCTAACGACAGATTTGTATGAAGATATTTTATTTTTCAGGTGAATCATCCTATTTCGAAATCATGTTGTGGGTGGATCCCCCGAAAAAACCAACACCAAAGTGGACGAGAGAGGAGACTCAGGAATATACTTAGCCATATGTCGGGCCGGGCCGGGCCCACCAAAGCCCGACGTAAAAAATCTAGGCAAAGGTCGGGCTGCCCATGGCCAAGTATACTCAGGAGAGGAGCAAAGCACCGCGCGCGCAGTGTGCTAGAGCCTTTCCTTCTTCCTTTTTCCTTGCTCTTCGCTTCGTGGACGCAACAGTCGGCTCATGCATGCACGAACGCATGGTTTGCTTCGACCGGCAGCAATCGGATCCTTGATCGATGGATCTCCCAAAGCGGACGGCGCAATCCCAGAAAAGAAGGCGGTAAATCAAACCCACGTTTTAGGGGCGGCCGGCTCCCAACTCCTTTCCTAAAGCTTTCCGCCAAATTGCCTGCCAAAGTAAAACAGCCTCTCCTCCGCGTCACGATGCAGCTTTGTTGACTCCCTCCCCTCCATTTCCACTCACGAAAGGAGAAAAGCAATATCCGATACTGATATTTATCTCTTCTTCTTTTTGCTAATATCGATCGATCGAGACCAGAAAAAGGTTGGCGCCATTACACTACTTCCTTCGTTTCAAAATAGATGACTCAACTTTATACTAAATTCAATACAGATTTAGATCATCTATTTTGAAACGGAGGGAGTAGTACGGAAAAAATTATATGAGATCAGGTCTCATATAAAGCAGGTGAGACCCATCCTGATGGATGACACGTGGCATTCACAAATCACAAAACATCTAATCTTTTCCCCCTGATTTTAGGTAGGATGGGGTAAATGCTTTGTGATTTATGAATGTCACGTGTCATTCATCAAAATGGATCTCAGCTGCTAATCCGTGAGACTTGATCTCATAATTTTTTTTCCCGAGTAGTACTAACGAAATATCTGGACGGACGGGCAGGGGCATGCGGGTGGGTCCCACACGACGGCGACGCGCGTTCCACGTTAGCTCTCCTGCTCCTCGCTGCCGAAGGGGGAAAGCACCACCACGTGGCCGAAAATACCGAGCTTGCCCCTCCCCATCGACAGCGCTCCGCAGGGGTGCACCACGTAACAGTGGGCAGGATCGTAATCACAGCCACTGAGTTCCGCAGGCGGAGCACGTAGCAGTGGTGGTAGATCCCGGGGGACCCCACCGCCGATCCACCCTTTCGCGCCCTTTCTCCACCCGCGCCCCGACTGGACCCCGCCTCCCACTCGCCGTACGACGGGACCCACGCGTCCACGTGTTCCGCCCGCGGCACCGCGTGGCACGTCGCCGCTAGGGCCACCCGGGGGATAGTACACGGCCCGTGCTGCCGCCCGCCATGTGACTTGTGTCCGCGAGTGGGACGGGAGCAGGGCAATAAACACTGGCGTGGGCGGGCGAGTGGGAGTAGGAGTCGGAGTAGCGCCGTGTCGTGTGTGGAAGCACTCACTCCCGCTCCCGCCGTTCCTGCGACGCCCGAGGCGGAGGCGAACACAGATGCGGTGGCCGTGAGCGACCGACCGAGGGCCGATCGACATGGGAGGAGGAGGCGGGACCAACCCCGCGGCCGTCGCCTTCGCGTTGCTCGCGGCGGTGGTGGTCGGCGCCGTTGCGGCGGCCGCGGAGGGGGACTCGCTCGCCGGCCTCGCCGCGGGCATCGACGGCGCCGCGCCAGGTGCGTGCCAACTTCGCGCGCGCATTCGCTCGCTGCGTACTTGCTCGTTTGCCGGCGTCGCCGCTGGCGGTGGCGATCTGCGCCCCGGTTGATCCATCCATGGCTCGTGCGAGGGGGATCGATTTCGATCCATTTCCGGAGCGACGCGAGCTCCGATCTCGGTGCCTGCCATGCCGTGCCACGCTCTTATTTTTCTTTTGTCGTTTATTAGGGCGATTAACCACAGCCGTCGGTCCGTCCTGGCTGTCGAAATCGCGCGCTGTTTTTGTTTCCTAGTAAGTAGCTCAGGTTTCCTCGGCGTCTCGGTTCACTGAGACGTCGGCTTCAGGCGCTGATCCCGCCGGCCACCATCGGCTCCATTCGAGCTTCCAGTCCAGGTTCAGAGAATCGGGCGAGTGTTTATTGTCTTATTTACCGCTAATTTAATTCCGGTGCTTCACTGCTTATGCCGGACCTGCGAGAATGTATTTACTGCTATTTTATTCACTGCCGGTGGTGTCGGTAGATCCTCTCTGACGCTCAATCGCGTTTTCTGAATCCCATTCGGTACGCCTCAGCCCTCAGGCTCAGTCTCAGGTGGGGATGCTAATTTTAGCAAACACATATTTTATCCCTGCTGGCTTGCTACCTCGGCTCGGTTGCTAGAACCAGTCAAACCGTTTGCTGGTGGCGTATATTTTTAGTATATTCATTCATGTCGATGCTGTGATCGATCTGCTACGCCTCGCCGACGAGGTTGACGACTTCCACTCCAAGCAACTCCTGGCTCTCCTAGGAAGCATAACTGGCCACCCTTTTTTTTTGTCTAGCAAAGGCCTCCTGACCCTGATTTTCAGTGCTTCATGTGACGAGAATTGACATCGCCGTAATTTATGTGTAGGGACTAGGAATGCGGGCTTTGATGCTTTTCTTACCATAGAAGCAAGTGCCCCTTTTGATTTGCTTATTGGTTTGTGTTAGCTTATCGCGCTTGATTTGCTTCTAGCCTTGTACTAGAAGCAAGTGGAACTTCGTTTGTAGCAGTATCAGTTTACTAATATATCATCCATGCTGGTGCTGGTCCTAAAAGGTCTGTATTTTTTTATCCAAATCTTCTGGTACTTCAGAGGTGAAGGAATTGGGGCCATGGGCGAAGGGGCTGCTCAACGGGATGCCGGACGGGGCAGCAGGGCCGGCGGCCATGGGGCCCGTCGCCAAGTACCCGCTGGTACTGGCCGAGGACAGGACGCGGCGGCCGGATGTTCTCCGCCATCTCAGGATGTATGGAGGTGGTTGGAACATCACCAGCAAGCACTACTGGGCGGTATGTGTCATTGTTTAGACTTTATTAATAATTAAACCTTTCATGAGTGTATTGCTTTAATTTGTTAGCCATGTCATTATACCAAAGTAGTATTTATGTGGGTTGTTGGGATCAGGGTAGTTGGATTAGTACAGTCCGTGTACGCACTAGAGATTCAGCCCATCAATACTGATCCTACTTTGAGGAATATAAGGCATGTCATCCCCTTTTAGTTGGCTGATGGTACTTAGTTTACATTTGATGCCCAAAGTGTCCCCAAATGTACCAGGAGTGTACACAGCTACAGGGAAGTTGCAGGATTTAAGACAGTAGGTTATTGCTTTCCTGAAACCATGTTGAATAATGAACAACTTTGTTGGAGAAACTAACTGCAAACGTTGACTTCGAAGTTATGGAGAAGAAAAAGGACAGTGGCTTAAAAATGGAATTGGGTGGCACAGAGTCAAGGCAAGTAGCATATGCCTAGTTTTATATAGTTAGCAACGTTGACGAAACCTGTTAGCATGTCAAATCTGACAATCATCTTTCAAGTTGCCTAGTTACTTTTAGTGACTGCTGGTTGCCCCCTTTCCCATTCTGCATTGCACTGCTATGTTAACTGAATCAAGTATGTTTCAGTCTGTATCATTCACAGGAGTTGCTGGATTTCTTCTTGCTGCCCTGTGGTTCATTTCATTTGGGATTGCTGCAGCTTCATTCTGCTTTTGTAAATCAAGAGTGGGCAAAGCAAAGGTTTCCCATGCAGATGTAGCACGACCTGTGTTGCTTGTGGTTGCTGTGCTTGCTTTAATGTAAGACACTAAATCTCTTTACCATTCATTTGTACTGTTGTTTATTTGTTATAGTTTGGAATATTTTTTAAGTACAACTCTAGATGAGTTTACTCTTGAGCAACTGCCATGGGTGCCCTTATCTATACATCCAACTTTTATTTAGATTAGCACTTCTCTGTACTCTATGGAAGGCATGATTAGTTACTCCCTCCGTTCCAAAATAGATTGTAATCTATTTTGGAACAGAGGGAGTAGAACTTTGAAGTATCGGTTCAGGGTTCAGTACGGTATTACTTCATGTATGATTTTTTTTAGATGAAACAATGGCAATATTATATGTGCATACACAAATTTTCATTTCTTAATTTCACAATACAACTATGGTGATACATTTCTACATTATGTTATAGTTCCAAAATGGGCTGATTTTTATAACGGCCAAACATTTGTTTATATCGGAACAGTACATGTTTTTTTTCTCGTAATGTCCATTAAATCTGATTTTGAATCCGAGTAGCTTTCGATATTTGAGTATTATTCAATATGGTCAAGGATTTGAGGATGGTATGCCCATGCATTTGCCCATATTTAGTCTGTCAACCGCATCTAATATCTTCCATGATCCTTTTGATGCCAGAACTGGATGCATTGTCCTTCTCTATGGGCAGAATGAATTCCGTGAAGAAGCTACCGATACTTTGGATTATGTTGTCAACCAATCTGATTTCACTATCCAGACACTCAGGAATGTTACAGATTACTTGTCATTTGCGACGACGATCAATGTGGCAGCACTTTATCTTCCATCAGATGTGCAGGCTCAGATTAACAATTTGAAGGTGGACCTAAATAAAGCAGCTGATACCATATCTCTGAAGACAACAGAAAACTACAAAAGGATCAGAAAAGTTCTCCATAATGTGTATGTTTCAAAGTTGTCCTTGCTTGTTTTTACCTCTGGAATTTCACTGAGAAATAGTGTGGATGTGACTATGCTTGCCAATGGGCTTAAATCTAACTAGGAAATGACACCACTATGCTGATGAAATACGTAATCATATGAAAAATTGACTGATGGCATTTCCTTTTTTTTAAGTTCAATTGACTAATGGCATTTCCTTTCTTTAAAAGGCCTCCTGATTACTTGCTTACTTGTCGTTTTTACCTCCAGAATTTCACTGCAAAATAGTGTGGATGTGACTATGTTTGCCAGTGGGCTTAAATCTAACTAGAAAATGACACCACTATGTTGGTGAAATACGCAATCACATGACAAATTGACTAATGGCATTTCCTTTTTTTTAAAAGTTCATTTCTAGTGATATGCTTCCAGATATAAATGAAATTCCTTTTTTACTACAGGTCTGTTGCATTGATTTGCATAGCTGTGTTAATGCCTGTTCTTGCATTCCTTGGATATGGTAAGCAGTTGACTCTCAATCTACATACTACATACTGCCCCTCCCTCTTTTCACTATGGCTGTGTTACACTCGCTTCTGAACTCGCTTGTTCCTCTCTTATGCAGTGCTGGAGCTATACGGACCAAGATATACAGTTTACACGTAAGCTTTCTGACCTATTTGCCGAGTATTATGTATTGAATTGGGTATGCTTTGCAGTAATTTTGACACCTTTCTACTTGAACTTACAGATTTGCTACCATATGCTGGAACATCGTGGCAGCTCTCTTCATTCTTATCGGGATTCTTTTGATAGTTACCAGGTATTGTTTACCTTACATACTATCTTTCAAGTTCTGTGATGAATTATGTTAGGAGTGGTAAGACTTCAGTTCATGCTAGGCTGCTAACCACCATCCCCTTCTTGTTGAATCTCAATTTTTTTGGATATCCAACCATGAAAGCAAATCTAAAAATCTATATAGGACTCAAGTATGTGCGAGAAACTTCTTTGTCCATTAATACATCCTCCGTTATTGATGTTAGTAGTTAGCATCAATTGCTTTCCCTGCCGAACTAGCAAGCAGTTCTGTTGTTCCAAAGAGGATGCAGCCCATTTGTCTAGTGTTAATATATTATAATGCTTTTTTTTTATTTTGAACTCATAATTTTGTTGTTGCTGTAGTGCTTCAAAGGATACATGCCAGGCAATGGACGAATGGGCAGAACATCCTCGAGCAGAAACTGCTCTCAGCAACATCCTTCCATGTGTGGACGCGAGTACAACCAACCGAACCTTGTACCAGAGTAAACAAGTCGTGGTGCAGCTCGTGAAGTTGGTCAACAGGGCTATATCTGCTCTTTCGAACCGAAAAGAGCGCCATCTGCATCCTGGGCAGCTCATGCCTTACCTGTGTTCTCCCTACGATGAAAACCTGAATGATCGGCAGTGCTTGTCCAAGGAGGTGACATTTGACAATGCAACGACAGTAAGTGTTGTTATTCTTCTGCTTCTTATTTAAGATCTTGTTGGCATCTACTAATTTGATTCCACGCAAAATCTTCTAGGAGTATTGTTGTTGTTGATCTGGTTCACTTCTATCATTGTTGTTGCTACTGAAATGGAGTATTCTGCATAGATTTTCTTACAGCTGAACAATCTCTACTGCCTTTCAGGCATGGCAGGACTACACGTGCAACGCTCCCGACGCGGACGTGTGCTCCGGCCCGAGCACCGTGACACCGGAGATCTACAGCCAGCTCGTCACGGCGGCGAACGTGAGCTACGCGCTGCACCACTACGCGCCGCCCATGCTCAACTTCCAGGACTGCAAGTTTGTGCGCGACACGTTCAGCTCCATCGCCTCGCAGTACTGCCCGCCCCTGGAGCGAGACCTCAGCCTCGTCTCCACGGGGCTGGCGCTCCTCGCCTCGGGCCTCGTCGTTGGCCTTCTCCTGATGCTCTTTGCGGACCGCCCCCGAAAAAGGGAGGAGGTGTCCGAGCAGACGTCGGGGTTCAGAGTCGCACCCGTGGACTGCTCCCCGTGACTGACAGACAGACAGATAGGGGATGCATGAGTACATTTTTTTACTTCTGTTGTGATCGTAAGATTAGTAAAGCTCCGTGGTTACTGAAATCAGTATAGTATAAGTTTCAGGACTAGTTAGGGAAGGGAAGAAGGCCTGAGCACTGCCGGGGTGACAAAAGGAGACGAAACCCACCCCCATTTTGCAGCGAAGAGTTTGGTTCATTGCGTGCTTCCTTCCATTGGTATGAATATGATGTAGTATATGATATGCTTCAGGAATTATAGTTGGCAAAAATGATGGTCAGATCAGCCGGGGGCCAAAGCCCCATTTATGCCATGAAAATTTACCTTGTGTCGTCCTGAAGTCCTGAAGTTCTTGAGAAAAAATCAGAGTTCATGGGAATAATACTGCAGAACTGATACGCTCTACATTTCCTAAAAAAAGGCTGATAAGCTCTACATAATATTGCAGCTGCTAATCAGAGTTGAACAGCAGAGATCTTCAGAGTATATTATGTAGCTGAATAACCTGCTAATCAGAGTTGAACAGCAGAGATCATCCTGTGTGTCTGAATAACCTGGTATATCAGACACACATGATCATTTCCGCGTGTAAATAAAGAGACAATAGTTTTGCAGGTTATTCAGTTGGTATTTATTGGGATAAGAGATGGTAAAAATGCCCCAGAACATGTACCAGCCCCATCCCCTCCCAAGCATGCATCTATATGGTACTTCGTTCGTAAGCATTTAGATCACTACTTTGATGTAAACGCTTTTATATTTCTTTATAAAGGGAGTATATCACATATTCATTCAAAACAAATTTGGGAAAGCAGGAACATTGGCGCAGTAAAGGATCCTTGCTGATTGACGCAACAAGCACCGGTTGGGTGAAAAGCAGGGTTGTGAGCTCTGCAAACGCTGCGTCAGCTTCATCAGTCCACTCGAACTTATCAGATTTCTTCATCAATCGGTAAAGAGGTAAGGCCTTTTCACCGAGACGAGAAATGAATCGACTCAAGGCGGCCAAACAACCAGTAAGCTTTTGAACGTCATGCACACGCACATGACATTTCATTCGTAGGATGGTGTCGACTTTCTCTGGGTTTGCGTCGATCCCCCGTTCGGAAACGAGGAAACCGAGCAATTTTTCACCCGGGACTTCAAACGTGCACTTCGACGGATTAAGTTTGATGTCATACCTTCTCAGGTTGGCAAAGGTTTCTGTGAGGTCGGTCAGCAGGTCGGAACCTTTATGCGACTTGACCACAATGTCATCAATATATGCTTTCACATTTCAATTGATTTGAGTGAACAGACACTTCTGAATCATCCTCATGAATGTGGCACCGGCATTTTTGAGACCAAATGGCATGGTGACATAGCAAAAGCACCCGAATGGGGTGATGAAAGCTGTTTTTATTTCATCGGGACCATACAGTCAGATCTGATGATACCCGGAATATGCATCTAGAAAAGACAATCGCTCACATCCCACAGTCAAGTCAACAATCTGATCGATGCGGGGGAGAGGAAAATGATCTTTCTGTACTCTCTGGTTTTGCCAATCGACTGACCCGTTTCTGAAATCAGTCGATTGACAGTTAGCCGCTTCTATATATAATAAGACAACTAATTTAGTATGAATGTATTACTATGATCATAGCCGGGAAACTTCACCGTCCCTTCCAAAACTTAACGACAAGCTTTGCTTGGGTCAGTAGACTGATTATTAAAGGAGCTGCCTTTCACTGGAGGCAGTAAAAATGCTAGACTCACGAACTACTTTTATTTTGTTGAAGTTGTGTCGAATATTGTGTACAAGGTAGGTTACAGTTGGACTTGTAGTTGTATTGTGTTTACAGGGTATGGAGTCGTGTTCAAGTAGGACACTTGTATCCTAGGCCTCTCTTATATAGCGGGGGTAGACACACGATGTAATCTATGCCAACATAATAGCACAGGCACGCAAGGGGGAGCCGGCGGCGTGTGCCGGCGCCCGGATGGCCGGTGTGCGGTATTGTGACGGTGTCACGCGGAGAAGCGCCCGTAGTCAAGCCCCGGGGATGTAGCCATATCGGTGAACCTCGTTAACAAATCTCGGTGTCGTGTTCGTATGATTGCTTGGTTTTCGGATGATCGACAGTATGCCTCTGATTTATTCTAACAAGTGGTATTATGAGCAAGGTTTGATTTGAGGCTGCGTGTTGATTCTGACAAGGGCCGTTGAGTTAGTCGTGGAGATGACATGTGTAAGAATCAGTCTTTGTGGCCGAAGCTTACGCTCGGATGAGAAGCAAGTTTTTCCGTGGAAGTCGTCTTGTACCGCGGTTGAGATCTCGGCGAAGATCGGAGGCAATCGAGCGACTGGATCGTGTACAGCAAGGGCATAGCGTGTTCGAGACCGTGTCGGCGAGATCGAGCAATCGATGGACTGACGGCGGCGCACGTGGAATCTACCCAAAGCAGCGTGTGTTGGTGAGCGGCCAGCTGCATCGCGTGGCGTGGCCCAAGGGCTAGGAGTGGGGGCGTGCTGAATGCGGGCACGTACCAGGCAGGTGCTGGATGGGCAAGTGACCAAGGTGTAGAAGTTGCTGACCCAAGGCAGAACACACGGGTTACAGTGCGATCGGTGTAACGTATACGTGATTTGTTTGGAAACAAAAGGAGACCGAGTCCGAGCGGTAGATGTGCAACGTAAGGCAGCCAAATCAGATCCAAAGGAAATCCATCAGAAGGACAAAGCAAGCTAGCATTGGGATTGAGTCAGGAGCTACACCACGGTTAGTCGTACAAAGAATCTGGCGCCATCGAATACCAGGTTTGAGGTGGAGAAGTTTGACAGAACTGAAAACCTTGGGTTATGACAGACAGCGGTGAAAATTTGCTGACACATCAAGGATGCTTGAAGGCGTTGCGGGATGTCAACCAGTTAAGATGGATGATGAGGGCTGCGTGGAGTTGTAGATGGTTGCAGTCAGAAAAGTCGGCTCGGGTCAGACACATAGGGCAGTTGGCCTGAACAGTCTGACGGATCGATGCAAGTTGGTTGGTACAGAAGACGGTGCGGAATCGGTGACGGCGACATAGGAGCGTGATGCTGATGGTGACCGACTTCTGGGCGTGGAAACACGTGGCGCAGGCCCGGGGCTTGTGTGGCTTCGACAAGACTATGACGCGGGGTTGATTCAAGGTGATGTACACACGGAGCTTGAAGTCGACGGGGCGTGAGGGTGGACTGATCATCTACCATGGAGTCATGTTGAAGGTGGAGCTGGATTGAGGGGCTACGGTGTAAGGACCAGAGAATCGAAGCCTATTCAGCGGGAAAAAGCGAGTGACACGTAGTTCGGACTGGAGCCCAATGATCTGATGGAAGCGTGAAACTCGTCATCGGTCGGTGTTGATCGGTGGTACTCTGCAGTGGGGTTTGAGTGGCGTGGGTTCGCGGCCCTTGAGACTCGATCGGGACAGCAGAGGCTCGACGCGGTAATAGCGGCGAGGCGTGCGGTACGCACGGGCATGAAGACGGGCCAGGGCTCTGGTGGTTATACATGTTGGAAATATGCCCTAGAGGCAATAATAAAAGCATTATTATTATATTTCCTTGTTCATGACAATTGTCTTTATTCATGCTATAATTGTGTTATCTGGAAATCGTAATACATGTGTGAATAACAGACATCAACATGTCCCTAGTGAGCCTCTAGTTGACTAGCTCGTTGATCAACAGATAGTCATGATTTCCTGACTATGGACACTGGATGTCATTGATAACGAGATCACATCATTAGGAGAATGATGTGATGGACAAGACCCAATCCTAAACATAGCACAAGATCGTATAGTTCGTTTGCTAGAGTTTTCCAATGTCAAGTATCTTTTCCTTAGACCATGAGATCGTGTGACTCCCGGATACCGCAGGAGTGCTTTGGGTATGCCAAACGTCACAACGTAACTGGGTGACTATAAAGGTAGACTACGGGTATCTCCGAAAGTGTCTGTTGGGTGACATGGATCAAGACTGGGATTTGTCACTCCGTATGACGGAGAGGTATCACTGGGCCCACTCGGTAATGCATCATCATAATGAGCTCAGAGTGACCAAGTGTCTGGTCACGGGATCATGCATTACGGTACGAGTAAAGTGACTTGCCGGTAACGAGATTGAACGAGGTATTGGGATACCGACGATCGAATCTCGGGCAAGTAACATATCGATAGACAAAGGGAATAGCGTACGGGGTTGATTGAATCCTCGACATCGTGGTTCATCCGATGAGATCATCGTGGAGCATGTGGGAGCCAACATGGGTATCCAGATCCCGCTGTTGGTTATTGACCGGAGAGTCGTCTCGGTCATGTCTGCTTGTCTCTCGAACCCGTAGGGTCTACACACTTAAGGTTCGGTTACGCTAGGGTTGTAGGGATATGTATATGCAGTAACCCGAATGTTGTTCGGAGTCCCGGATGAGATCCCGAACGTCACGAGGAGTTCCGGAATGGTCCGGAGGTAAAGATTTATATATGGGAAGTCCTGTTTCGGGCATCGGGACAAGTTTCGGGGTTATCGGTATTGTACCGGGACCACCGGAAGGGTCCCGGGGGTCCACCGGGTGGGTCCACCTGTCCCGGGGGGCCACATGGGCTGTAAGGGGGTGCGCCTTGGCCTAATGGGCCAAGGGCACCAGCCCCACATAGGCCCATGCGCCTAGGGTTTAGAAGGGGAAGAGTCCTAGGAGGGTAAGGCACCTCCTAGGTGCCTTGGGGGGGAGGAAAACCCCCCCTAGGCCGCCGCACCCCCTAGGAGATTGGATCTCCTAGGGCCGGCCACCCCCCCTTGGCACCCCTATATATAGTGGGGGAGAGGAGGGACTTCATACCTGAACGCCTCGGCCTTTGGTTGCCTCCTTCTCCCTCCCCAACACCTCCTCAACCTCCATAGTGCTTAGCGAAGCTCTGCCGGAGTACTGCAGCTCCATCAACACCACGCCGTCGTGCTGCTGTTGGTGCCAT